TTTCCTTCCTCTGAAACTGTTGTATGTGTGTTTTAGCTTAAGTTTATGTAATCTAGAATAGCCAATAAATTTCATGTTTCATTTATAAATACTCGATTGTCTGGTGTCAAATAATTTCAAGGTTAAAGCTATTGCCAAAAAGATCCCTTGCTTGCTACCTAGCTCGTGGCTTACTGATAATAATTACCTCTTTAAGAGCTTACAAATTATCATAATTGTATTTCACCCGTGGCCAGGGAGAATACAAAATTTACATATTCAATTGGTAATATACACTGACATCAACTTCTCGCTGGCCGAGTAGCTGATAGAGTGTAAACTATCAAATTTAGAATCAATTCGAATCAGGTTGAATTAGGCTCTTCAAATCCGAGTCCTATCAAAACCTGAATCAATAATAATAATTAATTCCCTTACAACTGAGTTAAAATTCCTTACAGTAATCTGATAATAACAGATAATCTGTTCTGATTTCAACAAAATTGGATTGAAGATTGTAGGAATACTAGCAAAAAACCTATTCAAATATGGCAGATAAGCAAAATTACCAAAATTGACAAATGGTCAAAAGTTAAAAGTGTTTTGGTAAAAAAAAAAAACCTATTATCTTCTGAAATATAACTGCCGCTGTCTGTAAACTTCTTGGGACACATCGTTGGTGATAATGAGTACTCAGAACGTCTTGTGATCTGAGATTGCACCACACGGCAGTTCCGCCCACAACCTCCTGGTTAGGTGTTTGCCACTTTTCACAGTGTGCCAAAGGGTACTTCAGAAGGGTATTTCTCAAAAATCATAGCAAATATCAAACATTTGTTTAGTCATTTCTGTGTGGCTCAGTCCAAAGACCATCTGAAGCAATTTTGGACAAAACTTGACAACAATTTAACCTTAGTTTGGTTGCTTAGTAAGATTTGCACCAGTTCAGCAGGAACTAGGAGATTATTGTACTTGTGTTGAGTTGCCTCTGTGGGCAGATTTTCCTGTGTTCTCTCCTGTGGCTTGCAGGAGAGAATCCATTTGATGCTGATTGGTTGACAGTCTGTCGATGATAAGGTTTCGTGAAACAAAACAATGCTTATCAGAGGACACGAAAACATGTTAGATTGTTTTGATTGTTTGATTGTTTTTTCAAACATATGTTTGAGTTATTTCACAATAAATAAACTCAAATAATTGTAGCCTACATAGTTTGTGCAATTACATTTATTTAAACTGAACGTTAAAAGTTCATATTTATCATGGTCTATTCTTTAATGTTAGTATAAATCACTGTCTGAATAAAAAAAGGTTGCATTTTATGCATGCAACAGCCTGTCACTGGCAGTCCCTTATGATAATGAAGCATGGTTTTACTAAAGTGACCATAGTTCAACTATAGTATTTGTAGATTTCCGTGGTTAACACAACAGTTAACATATTTTAACCATGTGAAAACAAAAATATAGCCTAATAAGTTACAACTACGGCGTATTGAATGTTAAAATGCGTTTCAAATATAAAATTAAGTGGATATCATTACCCATTTTATTCGTAGAAATTTTATAATTTAATACATTTCATAATTTAAAAGTTCAGTTTAGAAGTATTGTATTGGTATCGATATCGACGATACTGGCTTTTAAAAGTATCGGTCTCGTATCGAAAACAAAAAAAGGGGTATCACCCATCCCTAGCAGTTTTAGATTTTTATGTTATGTTTCTCGAGGTTAGTTTATAACATTTACAAAGTGCCCCCGTTTCAACAAGCTTGATCCCCCCTCTGGCCCCCTAAATTTGGAATCGTATCACACCAAACAATTGTGGGTGCAATGCAGTAATAGAAAAAAGTAAAACATCACCAGCTGCTAAATAGGTCGAACCAAAGATTTTCTTACTATAGGGAGATGAGAGGGTCTGTATTACCAAAGACTATAGAATACCCAAGACGTGTCACTCGTATAGTTTTGAATAGGGAAAAATGCAACGCTCAATATGGCGATCGAATGATCCCCGCTTTCAGAGTAAAAGAGCCAAACGCTAATCAGTAAAGTCAGCGTGTCATTGCAGCTGCCGTTAGAAGTTCCAGTTGCTATAGAAACAGTCAGTGTTCAGAGACGTGCGCTCAGGGCTGTGCATGCGCACTGGCTGGTCTAGCCTGAAAAATAAGCTTTTTTTTAACAGTATTTGAGCAAAAGAAACAATATTTATGAGACAGTAGTTGTCAGATTTCATTGGTGATTTCAAATATGAAATTTAATCTTAAGCTTAGCGAACAGTTTTGGAGAATTTGATGTTTCCCCATTCAAAGAGATAGGAGCTACACTTGCATGCCCGAGAGGTGTTTCAAAGATGGCCGCCGAGTGACATGACTTGCCTTAAAGGGACTTTGGTATTACTTACTATTGGAGAAAGCATAATGGTCAACTTGGATCACGTGTGCCTTAATAACTAATCACGTTGCAGCCTTGACATCATTGAATTTCAGTCCGAGTTGTGTGACACTCAATCGCCGTTTACGGATACCATAGGAATGAATGAGAAATGCCGTTAGCTGTATCCCACCTGTCGCAAAAAGTCAGTGACTTCTCTTATAAACAGCATTTGTTTCGGTGTGAACTCTAAAAATATTTCAATCCAAAATATTGCTTACTGTAAAACATGTTGGAGATTAGCTGATAGGCTGTCGATTCATTAAATGATAAGCTGTTTCCTCTAAAAAGCTGTTTATTCAGCATAAGATTTTATGGAAGTACACAAATATACACTGATGGGTCCAAAGACCCAGATAAAGGGATGACAGGAGTAGGAATATATGTAGCTGACTTGGATATATTCATAAGTAAAAGATTGTCATCTGAATTATCAATATATTCTGTTGAAATGGTCGCTTATTATAGTGGGACTTATGTGGGTAGAGGAAGTGACAGAGCTGTGATTTGCTCAGACTCTTCTTCTGTCTTAACATCATTATCCAGCCACCAGTCATCCAGTGAAGCCTCTCCTCCCTTGACATCCATTAAAAAAAAAAACGGCCTCTGGTCTCCTTTCCCATGTACTGGCAAACCAGAAGCGTTAGCATTAGCAGTATTGTTGACGTTTTATTGAATTTTTATATCTAAATGTTAGTGAAAAGAAAAAAAAACAAAAAAAACTTTTAGAAATCAGTCTGCAAATGTGATGGACATTGGTTATGATTATCATTGGTATCTAATTTGAAGGCATCTTGAGTAAAACTGCTTCATAATAAATGTTTGAACTGGAAGCAACAAGACCTGGTTAACAGAATGTGGAAGTCTGTTGCGAATAACCCCTATTCAAATCTGCGTAGTGACAGAGCTGTGATTTGCTCAGACTCTTCTTCTGTCTTAACATCATTATCCAGCCACCAGTCATCCAGAGAAGATTTAATGAATGAAATTTTAATGTTAATATGGCGAATTCAAAGGAAAGGAATTTTAGCCCATATAGGGGTAGTTGGGAATTAAATAAGTTATGAATTGGCTAAAAATGCTTTAAAAAAAAGGAAATTGATATTAATGTTCCATTAATTTGAACTGGAAGCAACAAGACCTGGTTAACAGAATGTGGAAGTCTGTTGCGAATAACCCCTATTCAAATCTGCGTTCGCTGACTGGCGCAGAGCCAGAAGAGACAGACACGCTCTTTTTACAGCGCTGTACATTAAAACCAATCACACACAATTCTGTTGCGCTGAATGACCAATCAGAGGCGTTCAGTTGTTGAGTGCGCGCGCTCGCTGACTGGTTTCTGCTCTCTGGCGAATTTTCTCATCAGAAACAACAAAGTGCAGATGTGCGTACGAAATCCTGAAGGTTATCAACCAATAGCATTGACATCTAATTTATGCAAATTAATGGAGAAAATAATAGTTCAAAGGGTAAATTATGACTTAGAGAAAAGGAGTAAATATATTAAATATCAGTGTGGTTTTAGAAGTGGAAGATCGACGATAGAGTTGATACTTTACTAAGTAAAGTCAGTAATGAAATAGAAAAGGCAATTCATATGAAAGAGATCATGATAGTAGTATACTTTGATATAGAAAAGGCATATGATACAGTATGGCGAGAAGGACTGCTATATAAAGCTTCAAAAATGGGTATAGAAGGTAAATTATATAACTGGTTAAAACAATTTTTTTTCAATCGAACATTTCAAGTGGGCTTATGCCAGTCATCTTTTTTTAATGCAGCGAATGGCATTCCTCAAGGAAGTTAATAGATTACACTATTAGGCTACTTTGCCCATCGCCCATTAGCCTAATTAGTTAGATCAACTAATAATTTATAAAGGTGCAAAATGCATTTACTTACACATAATTGAGAATCAAGATATTTCATGATATAGTTAACATATTTGGGAATATTTAGAATAAAAAGGAAAAAATAATGATACAGTATGGAGAGAAGGATTGCTATATAAAGCTTTCAAAAATGGGTATAGAAGGTAAATTATATAACTGGTTAAAACAATTTTTTTTCAATCGAACATTTCAAGTGGGCTTATGCCAGTCATCTTTTTTTAATGCAGCGAATGGCATTCCTCAAGGAAGTGCTATCAGTCCAAAACTTTTTAATGTTATGATAAATGATATTTTTGATAATTTAGAACCTGGAATAGGTTGTGAACTTTATGCTGATGACGGAGCTATATGGAAGAGAGTACGAAACATGACCAAAGTTCTTTCAAGCATGCAAACCGCTAGAACAAGTGAAAGTATTCAAATATTTAGGTATCTGGCTGGATAGCAGGTACACTTGAAAAAAAAAAACATAGAAGGAGTGGAGAAAAAGTGTAGGAAAACTTTAAATGTTATGAGGGCAATAGCTGGTAAAGAATGGGGAGCAGAAAGATCCTCAATGATGACAGTGTTATCAAGCTTTGATTAGATCTGTATTTGATTATGGCTGCATGATATATGGTGCGGCGTCAGAGACATTGCTAAAGAAGCTAGATAGAATACAATACAGAGAACTTAGAATGTGTTTAGGAGCAGTCAAATCAACACCGGTAAATGCTTTAATCGTTGAATCGAATGAATTGCCCCTGAATTTGCGCAGAGTGATATTGTCATTGGCATATTGGACATCTATTAAACGTTATGCTGGAGACAATATTGCTAAAGATGTTCCAAAAGACTGCTGGGAGTATGTGAGTAAAAAACGGAAGAGTATTTGGGTGGTATATTAACCAGATAGCAAAAAAACACTAGATATCTGATATAGTATGTAGTATTTCTCCAGTATGGAGTGAAGTGCCCATATGGATAATACCTGAAGCAAAAATTGATCTGGAGATTTTGGACAAGAGAAAGGAATGGGAGGAAATGGGAATACTCAAACGTAATGTATATAGGCATATATCTGGAAGATTTTATGGAAGTACACAAATATACACTGATGGGTCCAAAGATATAATTTATAAAGGTGCAAAATGCATTTACTTACACATAATTGAGAATCAAGATATTTCATGATATAGTTAACATATTTGGGAATATTTAGAATAAAAAGGAAAAAATAAATACAGTGCTATTGTGGCTGCTGTGTGTCACATGACAAGCATGATGCGGCCTCCCCCGCTCCCCCAGTTACTATGGTCTAGAACCGCCACTGCTTAAACGTAACTTAAATTTCATTTGTATCTTCGTTCTATTGTATTTTGTCTATAATTTGTTTATTCATTCTTATTTTATTACGGTTTCCTTGTCTTTTTAATAATTTTTGAACTTCATATTCAGTGAATTTAATATTGAACTTAATAGTTTTTTTTCTCTGGTACAGCAATTTGAGACAGATAAATTATAGAAAAAATATTTAGCATTTAGCCCTGCATTTATATTTTATCTTTGTCTTTTTTGGAACTTTCTTTGTATAGACAAAACAGGTGAAACATTATTCAAAGTATCTTTTTTTGTGTGTGTGCCACAGAAGAAAGTCATACAGGTTTGGAACAGCATTAGGTGACAGAATTGACATTTTTGGGTGAACTATCCCTTCATGCATTGAAACCTCTCATGAAAGTACATGCTTCAGCATGAGTTGCCTATTATTTGAAGCACTAAAGTGTGTGGATGTTTGCACAGGGTTCGGTTGTGGCATCTGACGTAGAGCAGCTGAAACAGGCCATAGCGGAGTGCAAGAGACTGATCCTGGAGCTGCCAGAACATTCAGGGAAACAGAAGGACACGGTTATCAAACTGATCCACCTTCGGCTCAAACTACAGGAATTAAAGGTTTGGACTACCAGTCAAAATTTGCAGACAATTATTGGTTTTAATAATAAACAATGAACAAAGGGAAAATAGGCCTTAAAATAGATATCTGATATAGTATGTAGTATTTCTCCAGTATGGAGTGAAGTGCCCATATGGATAATACCTGAAGTAAAAATTGATCTGGAGATTTTGGACAAGAGAAAGGAATGGGAGGAAATGGGAATACTCAAACATAATGTATATAGGCATACAGTAGTCAACATTTGAAGTGGATCAAAAAAAGGTTAATTAAAATTGTCCTAATACAAGAACGCATTTTGGTTTTAGGACAACTTTGATGAAAGGTTGTGATCCACTTCAAATGTTGACTACTGTTCTGTCATTAATTACTCACCCTCATGTCGTTCCAAACCTGTAAGACCTTCGTTCATCTTTTGAACACAAATTAAGATATTTTTGATGAAATCTAAATCAGAATCTTTCTGATCCTGCATAGACAGAAATGGAACTACCACTTTCAAGGCCCAGAAACATAGTAAGGACATCGTTAAAATAGTCAATGTCACATCAGTGGTTCAACTGTAATTTTATGAAGTTATGAGAATACTTTTTGTGCTCAAAGAAAACAACGATAATGACTTTATTCAACAATTTCTTCTCTTCCGTGCCAGTCTCCAATGTGCATTCACGAGTGTACCACGATGCATGCATGTGGTGCTGCTGATACAGGAGCCGGCATTCTGACGTAGTACCCGGATGTTCTACACCTTGTTTGCAAGCAGAGGAATGCACACGCATGCGTCTTGGTACTGTCGTGAATGCTCGTTGAAGTCTGACACGGAAGAGAAGAAATTGTTGAATAAATTCGTTATTTTTGTTTTCTTTGTGCACAAAAAGGATTATTGTAGCTTCCTAAAATTAAGGTTGAACCACTGATGTCACATGGACTATTTTAACAATGTCCTTACTACATTTCTGAGCCTTGAATGTGGTAGTTCCGTTGCTGTCAAATATACCTTAATTTGTGTTCTGAAGATGAACGAAGGTCTTACGGGTTTGGAACCATCCCTTTAAACAAAAATATAATATTTTTACAAATACAATAAGTTTACTTCAGTCAAAGCTAAAGCCGAGTTAAATCTTTCATTGTCCTTCCCCATTAGAATGCATATGTTAGTTAAAATGTGATGTACACATTATAGATACCTTATAGATTTACAATGTAAGCATCATAAAAAGTATGCAAATACATTATTATGGTACTATACACGTTATAGTGTTACTCTGAAACACTCTGTTGTTGTATAGAATATGTATCAGGGTACCTGTTCTGTTTCTGTATCCACCAAGGGTTCCTGATTTAGATCAAAACATTTTTGAGTTGATAAACATAAATTCAGTAAGTGTCCAAATATTTGGCTAGCAGTAAATTGTATAAATAAATTGTGGAATTTTGTGTTTTTACTGTTGTGTTGGATATAAACAGGACCCAGAAGAAGATGAGCCCAACCTGCAGGTTCTATTGGAGCATCGCTTCTCAAAGGAAAAGAGCAAGAGTGTCAAACAGATGTGTGACAAGTGTAGCACCATCATATGGGGTCTCATTCAGACCTGGTACACCTGCACAGGTCAGATCATCTCAACTGAACCCAATGATTATTAATTAAAAACGCAAATGATTCAGTCATTATGTACTGTCTTTCCAAACCAGTACCCAAAGAAAAATTATTATGCAGCTCTTTTCAATAAAACACTACTTTTATAAACCTTGAAGTTCCTAATGACTGTGAAGCTGCTAAAAGAACAAAAATACTAATAAAGCATGATAGAACTATAAATATACATATGAAAGTAGTCCGTATGACAAGTGCATTATGCATATGACCAAGCCTTCCAATATTATTTTTATATATATAAAAAAAGATTACAACCCCAATTCCAGAAAATTTGGGACATTTTTTATAAATGCAATACAATCAAGAATCTGTGATTTGTTAATTCTCTTTAACTTTTATTTAATTGACAAAAGTACAAAAAAAAAAAAAAAGATTTCCAAAGTTTCCCAAAGTTCACTGATCAACTTAAATATATTTTGTAAATATAAAATGTTTTTGATTTTGCTGGCTGCAACACACTCCAAAAAAGTTGGGACAGAGGTAAAATAAAAGTGAAAAGGTTATAGAATATCCAAATTAAACTGTTTTTAAACAGTTCATAGTAAGCAGGTGAACTGGTAATTGGTGAGAGTATCATGTTTGGGTATAATAGGACCATCTCAATCTTTGAAAGCATAGCTGGATCATTGCTTATCACCTTGTGCCAAATTTCACGAGAGAAGTGTCAAACAAATCAAGAATCACATTTCTCAATGCAAAATCGCAAATAATTTAAGTCCTTTGCCAACTACCAAACATAAATATGTGAAAAGATTCAGGGAATCCAGAGAAATCTCAGTCTGTGTAGGGCAAGGCAGGCAGCCTCAGTTGAATGTGCATGACCTTTGAGTACTCAAATGACATTGCATAGGAAACCGTCATGCTGCAGTGTTAAATATAGCTACATGGGCTCAGGAGAACTTTGGAAAACGCTGTCACTTAACACAGTCTGCCGCTGCATCAATAAATGCAACCTAAATCTCTGTTTCTCTTAAGAGAAACCTATACATCAATTCTATACAGTGATGTTGTGGGATTCTCTGGGCCATAGCTCATCTCAGATAGTCAAAAAGACAGGGGAAATGTGTGATATGGTCAGATAAGTCCACATTTCAACTTGTTTCTGGGAAAAATGGACGTTGAGTTCTCAGTCTGAAAGGCCAAAGGTACCATCCAGACTTTCATCAGCAACAGATGCAAAAGCAAACATCTGTCATGGTATGGGGGTAAAATTGTCATGGAGGAATATATTGGAATTGTACAGAGACATATACTGCCATCAAGATGACATCTTTCATGAGAAGTCCATGGTTATTAGATCAAGGCAATGGCAGGACTCATTCTGCATGTGCTAGATTGGCCTGCCTGCAGTCCAGTATCTTTCTCCTATTGAAAATGTATGACCAGTCATGAAAAAGAGAATCAGACACCGACGAAGTCTTGTATCAAGTGAGATTGGACATAAACTTTGCTTTGCAAAACTTTTACAATTAGTATACTCAATTCTCAAACAATTAAACATTGTAATTAAAATGAAAGTTTATGTGACACAGTGTTAAACATGCCTCTGTCCCAACTTTTTTGGGGTGTGTTGCAGCCATAAAAAAAAAAAATATATATATATATATATTTCAGTGTTGCTGTGTTCCTTGACATTTCAAACAAGTATTTATAGTGTGATTAAATATAGTGTGATTTGTGGTGCACTGTTCACAAACCTTGGATAAATCTACAGTGAAGTAATGTACACTTCAGGCTTTTCAATCCTACACTTGGCTATAATGGAGTATTATTTTAATTGCTTAAGCATGTTCAGATCTTACTGTGATGGACTGATTGTCCATCCAGGCTGTTTCCCTGCCTTCACCCTGGGATGCTGGATCCCTGCAATTCTACATAGTACAAGTTGTTTAGAGAATGGATGGATTCAGATCTCACTGTGATCAAAGGGAACGCAACTTAATGTTTGGTTTCAAAACGATTATAAATTGCTTTCCATTTCTGGTTCCAGGTTGTTATTACCGTTGCCATAGCAAGTGCATGAATCTTATCAACAAACCATGTGTGAGGTCAAAGGTCAGCCATCAGTCTGAGTATGAACTCAGCATCTGTCCTGAAGTCGGTTTAGACAAACAGGACTACAGATGTGCTGAGTGTCGGACACCCATCTCTTTAAGTAAGTCTCTTTCCAAACAGTCATCACATCTTCTATTGCTTTTCCAACATTTATCTATGTCGCTGATGATGACACAAATGTAAACAGAGGTTTATTTTGTTTGTTTTGTTTTTGTTTAATAAATTCTTTGTCGTTATTGTCAGAATTTTTAGATTCAGTGTTGTATGATTACTCTATAATGGGAAAAAATGGTGAGTTAACTTTGATATTTAGAATTCCCTTGCATAGGAAGTTGTATAACGTTGTCATATGTTGTGTAGGGGGTGTTCCTAATGAGGCACGGCAGTGTGATTATACGGGCCAGTATTACTGCAGCAGCTGCCACTGGAATGACACAGCCATTATTCCAGCTAGAGTCATACACAACTGGGCGTTTGAGCCCCGTAAGGTACAGTAACACTAAATCCTAGTGAGCTACCATGTTGTCTACATAAAGGCCCCATGGTTTTTTTCTCCATTTCTGTCACCGATGGAGTTTTGGTTCTGTGCCACTCTCGCCTTTGGCTTGCTTAGTTGGGGGCATTTAATTTCTGGCAATATTGTCAACTTGACTGCACAGATACTATCTGACCTGGACGATGACTTGACCTGGTTACTTGACTTGACTTGACTTGACTCACAGCGAAGTTAGGGGTATGATGTTAGCAAAGATCCCAACGCTGCCGAGAGCAGTGTTTAGATGAATATGTAAATATGTGCTGCATGCTTTCCTCTCAATATAAAAAAAAAAAAAAAAAATTACATAAATGAAAAAACTAATTAAGGAAGCATCTGATCATAGCGATGTGGATATGCTATTCGGCACTTCAGTCAAGTAAAGTCATATTTATTTATATAGCACTTTATACAAAATATTTAAAACCAAAGAGCTTTACAGTATTAAACATGAAAAAAAAACAGTGCCAGAGTTGATTTCAATTAGAATTACAACTTCAATTTCTACTATTAAGCAGCTCTCCAGTGTTTATGGTTGACACAATCTGTATTGTTAAAAGCTCTATATAAATAAAGGTGACTTGACTTGACTCGCGGACGTCAAACCTCAACGGACTCCATGTCAAAGAGGGCGGAGCCCCTGTACACACCTACCTATTATATAATTGCTGGATCAATGGTAGTTCTTTTTTAAGTTTTCTGGAAAGTTTGCTTTGGTAAGCTGTTTCAAACTCCCAAAACGAACTCCAAACCAACTTTTTTGACAATCCACTCTCAGGTCTGTAACCAAGCAACCAACCTTGCATGAGCTGCTGATGAGGTAAACAAAATAATAGAAGCTACCTCACTTTGAAAATCGCCTTTTGCCAAAAAACGTAAGGCATTAGTCACTTGCACTATAACTGGTAATGTTCCGTGACGCTTTGATGGTCTCTGTAATGCTGGTTGCAGTTCCTGTGCTAACTGTAATATGTTGCACGGCAGTCTGTAATTACTTATAAGTATTTTGTCATCAAAATGTAACACATCTTCAGGGTCCTCTAAGAGTCTTTCTACCATTAAACATCTCCGTTCTTCATTTTCAATTATTAATAAATGTAATACCATTGTTGGACAGTGCAATTGTACGGGGGTTTTCCGTTAGCTTTCAAATAATTTTGAAATTAGGACAGCTGTGGGGTTGTCCTAAAGTTAAGACAGTTTTTAGAGTTTTTTGTCAAGTTAGGAGGTTTCTGTAATACTCCCTTCCTATCTATCGGTAGTTAAGATAAGATAACACACTTAGGAAATGCTGTTCTGTAATAGGTTTTGTCCTAAATGTGGTCCTAACTGAAATTGCCATGGTTACCAAACAGATAAGATAAGATTTTAAAGTTAGGATCTTTCTGTAATATGCCCCCAGGTCATTTTTCGATTTCACTCTAAGCATATCAAGGGCTTAAGCAGCTACCTTCTAAGACAGCATCTTAACTGAAATGGGACTTCATAAGTGGCTAATTTGAAACACTCCACAAAGGCAGAAAATCCACATGGCATATCTTTGTTTTTCTGTTGGAATCTCTATCTTACTATCACTCTCTGTTGTTTAAACTGCTAAAATATAATTTGATTATCACCATATTTCTGATATTATCTATCAAACTAATATGACATTGTTCGCTTTTTAATCTAAACCATTAACACAACGCGTTAGCATTTTATTAGCCTGTTAGCTTGTCATTTTCACCTGCCGATTCTTTTCTCTCTCTCACTCCATCTTTTACGAGTTCATCAAACAAATGGTAAATCGGAATCATTCAAACAAACACAGTGATTCATGGCTTCTTCTGTTATTGTCACTTGCACTGCTTGCCACGTTTAGTGTAGCCTTCTCTGTTAGTGGTGAGGATTCACATGTGATAAATGAAGGGAAATAGTTAGGCTGACAGAGCAGATTTCAGAACTAGAGACATGCATCTAAACTTTAATCGAGGATAGTAAGAACGCGAAGGCCTTAGATACGGCTTTGGATGTGACTAGCTTAGTGAGTTCCGTACATTGTTCAGCTCCGGTGGCAGAGCTCTCGCAGCAGGGCTATTGGGTGACTGTGAGGCGGCATAGTCACGGGACAAAACACCGCTCTTCCGTTCCGATGAAAACATTAAACAGGTTCTCCTCACTGAGTTATGCACCCACTGAGAAACCTTATGAAATTGCCTTATTTATTGCCGATTATATTGTACGGAATGGGAAAATAGAGACACCAGCCACCATAGTTTCAAGTTTCAAGATTTATTTGTCATATGTACAAGTGTCAGTGACAGAATGTACATTGAAATGCTTTTTGTAAGGCTTAGGCAATCTACAGCAGTACAAAAATAACAACAGAAATAAATAATAAAGGGGCAAGCAAGACAGAAGTTTAAGTAACAGAAATGTAGAATAATGATGACAACAGATTCACAATCCAATACAGTACAATAAGAATAAAAGTAAAAAATAAAAAGTGCGCAGGTGCAAGGCTGAGGTGGAGACTTTGCTTTGGGGTATGTAATGTAGTTGTGCAAAGTATGCAAGAATCAAAAAGACATGATGTTTTTATAGTCTTTGATATGATATGAAGGGGGATAATAGTGCAATTTTAGAGACACCTTGTCAGTTTATTAAGGGTTCTGATAACCTGCAGGTAGAAGCTGTTTTTCAGCCTGCTGGTTCTGGACTGAATGCTCCGGTATCACCTGCCTGATGGCAGTTTGATAAACAGACTGTGTGCTGGGGACTAGGGTCAGTTGAGATTTTTCGGGCCTTCCTCAGACATCGCCGATGAAAGATGTCCTGTAGGGATGGAAGTTTGTTGCCGATGATGGCTTCAGCTATTTTCACAACTCTCTGAAGGGCCTTGCGGTCGAGGAATGAGCAGCTGCCATACCATACAGTAAGGCATCCCATCAGGATGCTCTCAATGGTACATCTGTAAAAGTTTGTAAGGATATTGGGAGGGAGACCAAAGCTTTTCAGCTTCCGTAGGAAGTAGAGCCGCTGGCGTGCAGATTTAACTACTGATGGGGTGTGCAGAAACCAGGATAGGTCATCGGAGAGGTGCACACCAAGGAACTTGATGCTCTTAACTTTCTACTGCAGATCCGTTGATATATAAGGGGGCGTGGCTGACCTCCTGTGTCCTTCTGTAGTCCTTGATCATCTCTTTGGTTTTGCTGACATTGAGGCAGAGGTTGTTGTCATTGCACCACTGTGATAGTGCTCTCACCTCATCTTTGTAGGCCGTCTCATCTCCATTTGTGATGAGACCCAGGGATTGATGTGTCGTCAGCAAATTTAAAGATGATATTGGAACTGTGTTTGGTAGTACAGTCGTGTGTAAACAGAGAGTATAGGAGGGGACTGAGAACGCAGAGCCTGTGTCCTGTGCAGTGTGGATGAGAAATGGTTACCAGTTCTCACCACTTGGGGTCTGCAAGTCAGAAAGTCCATTATCCAGTTGCAGAGATGAGAGTTCAGTACTAAACCTCTGAGCTTTGTAATAAGTTTTGATGGGATGATGGTGTTAAACGCAGAACTGTAATCAATAAACAGCATCCGCACATAAGTGTTTTTCTTGTCCAAGTGTATGTGGGCATTGTGAACGGTTAGAGCAATGGTGCCATCAGTCGATCAGTTTTTCCTATATGCAAACTGGAGAGGGTCCATGGTGTCTGGCAGGAAGGAACAGATGTGGTCTTTAATGAGCCGCTCGAAACACTTCATGATGATAGAGGTCAGTGCCACAGGTCGGTAGTCATTCAGGCAGGTGACAACAGACTTCTTAATGTCTGGGATGATGGTGGTTTTCTTAAAGCAGGTGGGAATCACAGACAGTCTAAGGGAGAGATTGAAGATGTCTGTAAGCACCTCCGCTAGCTGGTTGGCACACGATCTGAGGACATGGCCATAAACACCATCAGGACCAAGTGCTTTGCGTGGGTTGACCGCTCTAAGTGATTTGGACACGTCAGGCAAGGAGAAGGTAAGAGAACAGCTGTTATTATCTGCTGGCAGTTTCACTGCAGGGAAGGTGTTGCTATCCTCAAACCGTGCGTAGAAGGCATTCGATTAATCTGGCAGAGAGGCAGACAGATCCATGTTTTAGGTTTTTCCATCCTTTTTTCCACAGTTTTTTTTCCAGCAGCAGGACCAGCTTCTGCACTGGGCACTCAACTACTGATGGTTTGTTTACAACTACTGACGTTTACCATCCACCGCCAGTTTTCTGTCTCCAAAACGTATCTTCACTCTTCTCACCAAACCATCCTTGTCTCAGTCTCAATAACTTCTGCTAAGCGCCACTCATTCCTGGGTAGATCGTCTGCCTTCTCCAAGACTATATCTCCAACTTGCATGTTCTTTCTTGTTGTAAGCCAGTGTAACGAATCAGCTCATGACAGGAAATATGAATAATTAACCATAACTAGTTATGATTAATTATGAATATTTTAGATCCGCTGTAGATATTTAGCTGACCACTCAGGGTCAACTGTCTTGTCAATTCTAAGAACGTTAATTTCCTGGTTAAGGGAAATAACTTTCTTACTGTACAATTCTATAAGCTTGTAACGTAAATCTGCATGATTATTGACTCCGGTTATGAGCAAACAATGAACACGTCAAGTGTGATACAAGTAAGGTTTTATTAACTACATAAACACTTAACCTAGTCTAACATACTACATAAACACATAAACTGGTCTAACATCCTACATACACACATAAACTGGTCTAACATACACATACACACACACACACATACAGTTGGTATAGGAAAGGGTTAAAGTTTAACTCAGCACAGAAAGAGGCATAAAGAATGAATTTTATGGAAAACTTTGCATATTCAGCAGATCTAAAACCTGAGGGAAAACGTCAGATTCTTAGTTCAAACACACCTTGTAAAAAGGTGTAACTGATACTTAATGTATCAAA